GACCTGCATATTTTACATAAAATACGATGTTTTGATTATAGAAGGTAATCATGACCTGCATATTTTACATAAAATACGATGTTTTGATTATAGAAGGTAATCATGACCTGCATATTTTACATAAAATACGATGTTTTGATTATAGAATGTAATTATGACCTGCATATTTTACAGACAGCATCAAAAATCCCTTTTATAACGTGCGTATAAATTGTCCGTTTGTTTGTTTATAGTTAAGCACAAAGCTACACAATGGGCTATCTGTGCTCTGCCCACCACGGGGGCACGAACTGTCAATAAGACGTATGCTGAATAAAAAGTCATCTAGGATTAATGAAATTATTCTTTAACACGTGTGTAAAATCATAAATGAATAAAATTTAAATCAACAACCTTACTTTGAGACTGTAATCAGTCTTAAACAAAATTGTTTTTGTACAAAAAGAAAAAAGATTGTTTTTAATTTTTGTATGGTTAAATTTAATTCAAGTTTGATTCTAACAGAGTTGTGATTTATATAGAATCATAACTTTGGGTCTAAAAGAGAAGAGGGAACTGAGAGTGGTAGCTATATCCTCTACAAAAACAAACTATTATTATTCAATATTATTATTATTGACGCGTGAGTGAGACAATTTTTAGTTGATACAAAAAGTAAGGGGACATACCCCTCTTATAATTATGCCATTTCTTTTATAGATTTTGGTCAACTCTCACGCGTAAGGGAGACAATTTTTAGTTAATACAAAAAGTAAGGGGACATACCCCTCTTGTAATTATGCCATTTCTTTTATAGATTTTGGTCAACTCTCACGCGTAAGGGAGATAATTTTTAGTTAATACAAAAAGTAAGGGGACATACCCCTCTTGTAATTATGCCCTTTCTTTTATAGATTTTGGTCAACTCTCACGCGTAAGGGAGACAATTTTTAGTGAATACAAAAAGTAAGGGGACATACCCCTCTTATAATTATGCCCTTTCTTTTATAGATTTTGGTCAACTCTCACGCGTAAGGGAGACAATTTTTAGTTAATACAAAAAAGTAAGGGGACATACCCCTCTTATAATTATGCCCTTTTTTATAGATTTTGCTCAACCCTCAGTACAGCAAATAGATCGTAGGTCAGTAAAACAAGGAATTATAAATTCGTAGTTTCCACATATCATATAAACGACAGATTAATTTTTCTCTTAATGTTATAGCACGCTTTTATTGCTCAAAATATTAAATAAATACAATAATCTAACACTAACGAACAAAACCTATTTTGAAAAGCAGTTTATTTTAACATTTTCATCAGTAAGAACAAAATTACGATCTCACATAACTCACAGAAACACGTAGGATTCAGTTCCCTAACATCCATAAGTTACCTTTGCTGTGTATATTCTCAGAGTGAAAGGGGAGTATGTATATTCACACAACTATAGTTACAAAATGTTTGTAATCTGGGTGACCAGATGGGTATTTCATGAACCTACCTGAGACTGGTGAAGTAAAAGCATTGTAGAATCTGACAGCGACTTAGATACTTGGCTAGCTGAAGTCTCAACACTTGCACTGGTTGTGTAAGAATCAACACTTGATCCTGAAACAATCCCCTCAATATTGAAGGATTCCGGGGATTCTTCAATATCAAACTCGAGTTCTTCCCTCTTCAAATTATCATCAACTGCGTATAAAGTAAAAATCATCTGTGTTTTAGATGCCACGTTTATTAAAAGAGTTGGCAACAAATAATAACAGTTATAGACGTGTATCTTAAAAAAAACAAAGACATAATACGAAATTTAGCAGTATAAACTCACGTAAATACTACAAATCACCTAATTGGATCGGCTTGCGCTTTCAAACACGAGAGGTTTCCACAATGAAACAGTTATAGAGTTTGAAAATACTCATTTATTTGGCTCCTAAAACTTTGTTAAGACCGTCCTCCTCCCCCCTACTAATTTTGTGTGTATGTGTGTGTGTGTGTGTGTGTACGTGAGAGAGTGTGTGTGTGTGTGACTGGCATGACCTGGTGTTTAGAGTGCAGTCTGGGAGTCGCAGGTTCGAATCCACGTCCCCGAACATACTTGCCACTTCGGGCGTAGTGGCTTTAAAATGTGACAGCGGTCAATTTCTCTGTTCTATTGTATAAAAAGTAACTCAAGCTAGAGTTGACTAGCTATCGTTTCTCTAGTCTGTAACTCCTAAATTAGGAACAGATATCGCAGATAGCCCTCGAAAATCTTTGCACGAAATTCATAAACAAACGGATTTTTCAGTGCTACACAATTACCTACACACAGGGATTTGATAACTAGTTCGGTTATATTGGAGACTGACACGGATTGTAGCTAAAACACGATTTGGCGAAACAAAACGGAAATGACTGTGACTTTTATAACGTGCTATTGACATTTCGAATGATGTTATTCATTATTCGCCTTAAAATTTCATTATACCAAAATTTTACCTAGAGAACGAAGAACTCGATGATACCAAAAGATACCTATAGACCCCCCAAGCCTGAAAAACGCTTTAAATTTGACACATTAGTTTATTAAGTATGAAATTGGCACAGAATATACCACGACGTACCACAAGCAACAACTTCTTGCCCTTGGAGAGTTCACATCCTACCCTACTAATTACGAGTTTAATAACCCATTTAACGTTTGTCCATGTGATAAAATTCAATCACGGTCGTGAGTCAGTAAATGCAATTACCAGCGATAAAAATGTGATAAGAAATTGACTACAGCCATATTACCGCTTAGAGTCGTGTTGATACGTTAGTGCTTTAGCGAAACGTTTTATGATTCAGTAATTTTATGTCATATCTCCCAAAGCAGGAAAAAAAAAAGGCAATGGTAGCGAATTCTAGATTTAAAAAAAAAAAACTGTCATTCATAATATCTTTGAATCTCGGTTATACTGTACGGTGTATCCCTTTGGTTGTTTGTATTTAAGCACAAAGCTACACAATGGGCTATCTGTGCTCTGCCCACCACGGGTATCGAAACCCGGATTCTAGCGTTGTAAAGCCGCAGAAATATCGCTGTGCCACTGGGGCGTGTATCCCCTAAAAATTAATTTCTATTATTAGCTATTTATGTTAAATACAGAAAGATAACTGTTGTGGCTATTTTGTAGAACATTCGTGTTATAATAAGAAGAAAGATTTACAGGGGCATAATATATATATATATATATATATATATATACACACACACATATAAGTGATAATATTCATTACTCGCCTTGAAATTTCATTATACCAAAATTTCCCAAGAGAACGAAGCGCTCGATGACCCCAAAAGATACCTATAGATCACAAGCCTGAAAAGCGCTTTAAACTTGACACATTAGTTTGTTAAGTATGGGATTGGTACAGAAAATATACTAGTCATTAATTTGGCATTTTTATTACACACATATACATAAAACTGTTTCCCTGTTTACCGAAAAATTCTCCTCTTTATAAATATATTTCATGTTTTGTAAGCCGTTTCTTCACTTTCAGTAACAGCTCATTGATATTTACAATATTCATACCACCCACTGTTATGTGAATCAACAGATAATAGGAAAAAAAGACTTGCATCTCTGTTTCACCTCTAAATAAGACGCGTAGAGTAGTAGTAGTAGTAGGAATACGTCATCTGCTTTTATTGTTTTCTAAACCATTGACGTTAAGGCTAAGAATATACCTGTGTGTGAACCTGGTTCCCTTCTGAACCAACATTACAGTTCTCTGTTGACGTCAAATAAAGACCCACGTGTCGGAAAATGGAAACCTTGTGATCACTGACGTAACACGCGTTGAAAAGCGATGCTGAGAACTAACCTTTGTTGTTGCTATGGAAATTTTCAAAACACGTTAGTGACGATCTGGTATCTTTTTTTTTGCTTTCTTCGAACAACACGCAACGTACGTCACCAAAATAAATTACGCCAGGGAAACAGAGAACGTGATTTCTGCCACTGTTTGCTTATCCTTCTTATTTGTCTTAGTATATTTCACTCTTTGCATTCACTTGTGTAAATAACCGATAGTGTTGATAAACGTGTAAGTAACCGATAGTGTTAATAAACGTGTAATTAACCGATAATCTTTTATAAACGTGTAAGTAACCGATAGTGTTAATAAACGAGTAAGTAACCGATAGTGTTAATAAACGAGTAAGTAACCGATAGTGTTAATAAACGTGTAAGTAACCGATAGTGTTGATAAACGTGTAAGTAACCGATAGTGTTGATAAACGAGTAAGTAACCGATAGTGTTAATAAACGAGTAAGTAACCGATAGTGTTAATAAACGAGTAAGTAACCGATAGTGTTGATAAACGTCTAAATAACCGATAGTGCTGATAAACGTGTAAATCATTTTTTAAACACCAATAAATGTCACTATATAAAAGCTAACATCCTTACAAAATGACCTTCGATGGGATAACGATAAAATTAAAAATTTAGAGCGCTAAAATCCGGGGTTCGATTCCCTGCGGTGAACACAAACAATCAATTCTCACAAAAAATACTTCCTATACAGTCTATATTCAAACATATCAAATAAGCATCGAAATATTACTCGTGTCAACCGTAAGGGGACACTAACCTAATGTTTCGAACATTGTTTTAAATAAATGAAAACTAGAGACACCGCTCAGGTTATTAATAGAAATATTACTCGTGCCAACCGTAAGGGGACACTAACCTAATGTTTCGAACATTGTTTTAAATAAATGAAAACTAGAGACATCGCTCGGGTTATTAATCAAAATATTACTCGTGTCAACCGTAAGGGGACACTAACCTAATGTTTCGAACATTGTTTTAAATAAATGAAAACTAGAGACATCGCTCGGGTTATTAATCGAAATATTACTCGTGTCAACCGTAAGGGGACACTAACCTAATGTTTCGAACACTGTTTTAAATAAATGAAAACTAGAGACATCGCTCGGGTTATTAATCGAAATATTACTCGTGGCACCCGTAAGGGGACACTAACCTAATGTTTCGAACATTGTTTTAAATAAATGAAAACTAGAGACATCGCTCGAGTTATTAATCAGGCATTTTAAATCAAAAACATATACTATTTCTCACATATTTCCATTCAACACTATATGAACTGGTAAGGAAATAAATTGTCTGTATTCAAGGGGTTAAATTCTTGCAATATAGTGTCAAGAAAACAACTAAATTGACTTCAAGATTTAATAAGTAATTATTCACCTACATAACAGGTGGAGTTTGTTTTATGTTTTATTACAGTACGTTATCTACACACTGATCATCGCCAAGAATCAAACCTCGTCGTTAACATTGTAAGTCTGTAAACTTACCCGCTTACTACAATTAGAGTAAAAAATCTAAACACACTGAAACATATTTACTCAAGAAATCTGTTCGTGTAGAAGCGCGAAAACGATTATTTAGGTAAAAGAAATTAATTTTAGTTTAAGACAAAAAAAACATAATTCTAAATAATCTAGGTAAACTGAATATCTAAATAAGAAAAAGTTATATTGTGCAATTAATTATCCAAATATTTCCAAAAACGACCAACGTTACCACATGTAATGATAGTATAACTATACATAACAAGTTAACCTGTTAGTTACTGTACTTAACCCTGATTGTAATTAGCATACAATACAGTGTTGAGTTGTTCATTGTCTCTGGGGCAACTTTAAGCATCACTGTGTAAAATTAGATCAAATACACATTGAAATTAACTTATAAAATTGTTTAAAGCAAAAAAAAAAAGTATATTTATATCTGATTCAACATTAAGCAGGAGTCAGAAACACGCGTTACTAACTGAATGAACAAAACTAGTATGATCATGCTTTAGAGTCAAATTAAACCAGTCGTTCTTCATATAAAAACATATATAAATGGTAACACTATTACCGTAAACGTATCATTCAAAACCTCTATACGTCTAAGATTTCGCTGGTCACATTTCCCAAAAAATGACTAACCTGTGGTTGGAACACTTGAGAGGTAAGTTTCAAAGAGTGAACCTTGGCCGAAGGCAGGTGATATTGTGTCTCTGTAAAAAGGTGTGGATGGTAGCTGTTGATCAGTTAAATTAAGCGAGTACGCGGTCCACAGGTAATGCATCTGAGCTCCTTCTGCTCATCTGGTTGTCCGCTGGGTCTCTCGTCTCTGGCCCGATTACGGAAAATCCTTTCCACCGTGAGAATATATTCGAGCAGCCAATTCCGGGGAGCAGTAGACGGCCCGTGACGTCGGTGCTACCTCTGACGTCAAACAGAGAACGCGTACCTGGAACGTCAACCAATCGTCGCAAGCCCGTGTACAACAGTCGATAGGAGTGAAACGACTAAGAGTTAGCGCTGCCTCTATATTATGACGTTACGATGTAAGTTCACCCACGCAGATTTTACAGAATTGAAGTGAGCACTGATTTAAAGGAACGAACTGTAATCGATCTGAATAATAAACCGTTGCAGGATAGTAGCAAGGATATTGTGACGTAGAAAAATACAATGGTACAGAGACTTGGAAACAGTGCAGGCGTTTGACGTCGTGCAAACAAAGCACGTGCCAATACTTGCAGCGGGTTTTTACAGACTAGATCAAAATAACAGGTTGGGGGCGTGGTGGTAGCAGCTGGTGTTTCAGGGTTGGCCCTCATGGTCATAGCTCTGAAACGAAGGCCAAGAGCAAGTTAGTTTTAACAAGCGAAAAGCATTATTCTGGATTTCCCGTAAAATATAAAATATAAGACGTCTTTACAACTGACAGTTATACGTCAATCAACGAGCACTACAAATGACGTATAGACATAAAATTTTCTTGCTAAACACAAAAATGCAATAGCGAAAGTACGATACTGTGTAATGATAAAGCATTTATTAAGCTTAAAATGCCATGAAAGAGAAAACGTAAATTTACTTCTCAGTCAAACGAGCTACGATGACATCATAATATCGAGGTAAAAACGTGAGTAAATATTAACGCTTTTTTTTCCCTCACAAAATCGTAATTTTTTGTTAACAGTTTTCAAAATCATTTTCTATTTCATGGCATAACGTTTAATAAACATTCCAATAAGTGTTTTTCGCTACTGAGAGACGCGTGTGATAGAGCAATCATTTTTCACAAAATATGATAAGAGGGGAATTATACGATATTTCCACTCAAAATAAGGGATAAGATGATTAAGAATAATTAATTAATACATCGAACCTTCTATACTGGCGACAAATGATAAAAAAAATCCTCATTATGGTTTCTGCTCGAATCTCAGCTCTCATTATGCGTCTTTCGATATTTTAAAGAACCCCTGATTTGAGTACCACTATAATATTTTAAAGGTATTTGACTGTATTCATCTTTCGCTATTTTAAAGAACCCCTGATTTGAGAACCTCTATAATATTTTAAAAGTATTTGACTGTATTCGTCTTTCGCTATTTTAAAGAACCACTGATTTGAGTACCACTATAATATTTTAAAGGTATTTGGCTCTATTCGTCTTTCGCTATTTTAAAGAACCCTTGATTTGAGTACCACTATAATATTTTAAAGGTATTTGACTGTATTCGTCTTTCGCTATTTTAAAGAACCCTGATTTGAGTACCACTATAATATTTTAAAGGTATTTGACTGTATTCGTCTTTCGCTATTTTAAAGAACCCTGATTTGAGAACCTCTATAATATTTTAAAGGTATTTGGCTCCAGAAGTTTAACTTAAATGATCTAAAATGTATTAACAGTCATAAAACTGAAAGCTGATCGTAAATCGTTTCTCGTCCGTTTAACCTTTGAACCCTAAAATCCTTTCACTTATTGTAACAGATCTAAAAACAATTCTCTCAGGGTATTACGTCTTACTTATTTTTGTTTAGATAAAAATCTGTAACACCTTAGCTGATTTGCTCCAAAGCTTTTGGCAGTATAGATTGTTTGAACCACTAGTAGTGTAGAAATACACCCTTCTTCTATCTTACCTCTTCCCCAATAACTCACACGAAAGCTTTACGGCTTATAACACAAACGTTCAAGGTTTGATCCCTGCAGTGGGCACAGAGCAGATAGCCCATTGTGGATTTTTTCGCTCGCTCATAGTTAAAACATACTTTTTGCCATTTCTTGTTTTATCGCTGAACAACTATGAATCTCTGATTGTGTGGTTGAATATCATGTATATTTCTAGATCCCAGTTCTTACAACATTCAACAAACAAGTTCTTGAGACTTAATGAGCCCATTTATGTTTTGTCTTTTAATTGATGATGCTTATTCAGAAATAACGATAAGAATGTTTCATCGATTTCAGTGTTACAAAACATTACCTTAAACTCCAAAATACTAGACAAAATGACTTCGGTGATGCTTACTTTGTTACAATCAATTCAACGTTTTGTCGATCTAAACGTTTCGCTAAAAGATCAACGACAAGAGTTAAAAAGAACAAAACTATCAAAAGGTATTGATAGTACATAAAGAAAACTATTCACTCAGAGATATTTGCTAAAGGTTATTTAATATCTATTTGTGGGGTATGCGGGTTATGATGCCTCTACAATAATATTCTATACAACAATTATTTTTATCATCAAAGATGGTTCCTAAGGTTATTTATCACAAATAGTACCATAATCCCAAAATCTAACCTCCATCAATTTATCTTCAAATGCCCAGCGGTACGTCTGCGGACTTTCAACGCTAGAAACCTGGTTTCGATACCCGTGGTGGGCAGAGCACAGATAGCCCATTGTGTAGCTTTGTGCTTAAGTTCAAACAAACAATAACCCTTTAAAAGTGGGATTTGTATTTAATATAAATAGGAACATATTACAAAAATTAACGACTACAATATATGGATAAAAGACTGGCTAAACAAAATAAGCCAAACTCTTTTTTTTACATTTGTATGTTTTGTTTAATCGTGTAAAAAGAATGGATAAAAGCCAAGTACAACATTCGGCCCGTTGTGAGATTGACGAGAGAAATTGTTCAGCAGTGGTCGGGTATCGATATCCATGATTTAAGTGCGACAAATGTCTAGTGTTCAATCATGAAGGAACAGCCGGATAAAAACCACGCGAATCTTTACCAGCTGTTCTTAAGTGTTTACCCGTGTTGGGAAGGTAAACAATCGTTTTTAGATTTAACCCAGTTGTCAAGCGTCACTACCTTCAGCAATGCGGATGAATACAACATGAACTTAGTAGAAGATGTCAAATACGTGTGTGTGTGTTCTTTTTGTGAGTGAAAGAACCCAGACACAAGGACACACAGAGGAAAGTACGCTGAAATGACAGAAACGTAAAAAAAAAAAAAGTTTGTTCGCGACCATTTTTATGTAGAACAAACTCTTTTATAACAGCGATTTCAAATATCTAGAGCAAAATTTCTTGCGATAGTCCCAAGCTTTACTAATTTCTTGTACACCATATAATAATTTAATGACAAGATATACATCCTATTGAGACATTATCTACGGGTTAACGATATACAGAAGTCTTTACGTAAATCATAGAGTTGATAGAATCTAAGAAAGGGTGTCAAACTTAGTAATTTTTTGATAAATTGTGTAATTAATTTAAATGAATCCGTATTACAGTTCGTTCTGACGACATCATATGTTGTATATTGCTGTATAAATGTCTAAACTAAAGGATTTCTATTTATGGCAAAGCTACTAAAGTTATCTCCCTTCGTCCCTGATTTTAAACTACTGAGAAGAGGGAAGGCAGCCACTATAACGCCCACCATCTGCGCTAAGGGGCTGACTGTCACTCTAATAACGCATCCATCTGGGGACGTTTAATGATATCGCACAGATTCGAGCCAGGATCGCCAACTGAGAATTATGGGGCTTTTCCACAGGGCAATCTCTCGCCTCTAACTAAACTGCTATTTTGAATTCATTTTAATAAACGTTACTCGGCTACAAAGTTTGTTTATTGTTTAAAAAAGAATTACACGTTAACTTACTGCGATCATCATACAAAATGAGATTAATTATGTTCTATGTTGGATAAGGATATATATATATTTTTTAAAAGTGCAATAAAAATACAAATTATTTAAAAGGGAACGGATACGCGCGAGCAGGTTTAATAACGTCTACGTTTCACAGTCTACAACTATTTTATGAAAGGGGTGGCCAAAAGTACCCATAGAATATTTTTTCTTTTGTATTGTTTTGAATTTCGTGCAAAGCTACACGAGGGCTTTCTGCACTAGCCGTCCCTAACTTAGCTGAGAAAGACCATAGGGAGGGCAGCTAGTTATCACCAACTTTTGGGCTACTCTTTTATCAACGAATAGTGGGATTGACCGTCACATTATAACGCCTGCACGGCCGAAAGGGCGAGCATGTTTGGTGGGACGGGGATCGAACCCTCGACTCTCAGATTGCGACCCATAGAATAGGGTAACTAAGAAAACAATACGACTAATGACACTAATGCAGCTGTTCAAAATGCTTGCCAGGACAATTGATAAATTCTAGACAAATATATGTTGTTTACTTGTTAATTTTGAAGGATAAAAAAAAAAGACAGAATGTGCACAACTTTATAACTTCTTTCGGTTATCTCTGTACATCAAATCTAGGTTACTATTCGTTCCGCGGTATCTAGATTATAATCTAAACAACCCGAACGTAGCGCCACCTGTCACAGAACTTGTTTCTTGCCTGGTGGACAGCAATCATGTGTTATAACTCATTAAAACCGTAGAGTTTTGCAATCATGTGTTATAACTCATTAAAACCGTAGGAAGAGTTTTACACCCTTACAATACTACTTACCTGTAACACTGTAACTCTTCGTGGCACATGCGCACTCTACAGTAATCAGCCAGCACAAATATTCGATGAGAAAGTAACAACAAAATACGCATGCGCTCCTTTCCTTGTCATATTTGAATAATGTGGATTTTTTGGCTTGTCTTGTTTTTTTTTATTTGTAGTTATGCACAAAGCTACACAATGGGCTATCT